TTGATCTTGTTCTCATGAACCGCCGTCTTTGAAATTTTAAGGATGGAAGCAAAAAGTGACAAATTGAAACATTGTGTGCTCTCTGATATGTCATTCATTGACTCCATTCCAGACATTATTATGAGCCGTCCTCCCCTCAGCAGCCTCCACTGAACTATATGTATAGCTAGCAACTAGCTAGATGGAAAATGGTTGTTGAAAAATGGTTGTACATAGCTAAATCCATCCAGTTATCTAATAGAAGGTAACTGCTTAACGTTACCCTGAATTGTGAATTTCTCTGAATGTTGCGCCTCTTGTTCGAGATCAGTGGTGTCTTCATAGTACTTCGCCTGGTTGGAAAGATAAAATAAAATCTCCTCGAGGGATGCCATTGAAGTGCAAGCTACATACAAACAGAAAGCTACAATAGAAGTTACAGTAGCTAACAGCGCCGGAAGAAGATGGCTGCCGTTTTACAGCCCTCTAACCAATTGTACTATTATGTGTGTTTTTCCGCGTTATTTGTAATTTATTTTGTACATAATGTTTCTGCCATCGTCTCTTATAACCAAAGAGAGCTTCTGGATATCAGGACAGCGATTACTCACCTGGTATTGGACGAAGACTTTTTCTTCAACGAGGCATTCGCGAAGGATATTCTACAGACACCCAACAAGGCCCAGATCCCCGTCATTCGCGTGAGGAAGAGACGGAGATATCGTGGACGCAGATCCGGGTGCCTTGTAAGGATCCGACGGCGAACGAGTAAACTGCCTCTCCCATCAATCCTATTAGCCAACGTTCAATCTTTTGAGAATAAAATTGACGATTTAAGATTACGGTTATCCTACCAACGGGACATTAAAAACTGTAATATCTTATGTTTCACGGAGTCGTGGCTGAACGACAACAATGACAACATTCAGCTAGCAGGCTATACGCTACATCGGCAGGACAGAACGTCTAACTCTGGTAAGACAAGGGGCGGCGGTCTGTGTATATTTGTAAACAACAGCTGGTGCACAAAATCAAATACTAAGGAAGTCTCGAGGTTTTGCTCGCCTGAGGTAGAGTATCTTATGATAAGCTGTAGACCACACTATTTACCAAGAGAGTTTTCATCTATATTTTTCATAGCTGTCTATTTACCACCACAAACCAATGCTGGCATTAAGATTGCACTGAATGAGTTGTACAACGCCATTAATCAACAGGAAAACGCTCATCCAGATGCAGCGCTCCTAGTAGCCGGGGACTTTAATGCAGGGAAACTTAAATCCGTTCTACCTCATTTCTACCAGCATGTTAAATGTGCAACCAGAGGGGAAAAAACTCTAGACCACCTTTACTCCACACACAGAGACGCATACAAAGCTCTCCCTCGCCCTCCATTTGGCAAATCTGACCATAACTCTATCCTCCTGATTCCTGCTTATAAGCAAAAACTGAAGCAGGAAGCACCAGTGATTCGGCTAATAAAAAAGTGGTCAGATGACGCAGATGCTAAGCTACAGGACTGTTTTGCTAGCACAGACTGGAACATGTTCCGGGATTCTTCAGACAGCATTGAGGAGTACACCACATCAGTCACTGGATTCATCAATAAGTGCATCGATGATGTCGTCCCCACAGTGACCGTACGTACATACCCCAACCAGAAGCCATGGATTACAGGAAACATCCGCACTGAGCTAAAGGGTAGAGCTGCCGCTTTCAAGGAACGGGACTCTAACCCGGACGCTTATAAGAAATCCCGCTATGACCTCCGACGAACCATCAAACAGGCAAAGAGTCAATACAGGTCTAAGATTGAATCATACTACACTGGCTCTGACGCTCGTCGGATGTGGCAGGGCTTGAAAACTATTACAGACTACAAAGGGAAGCACAGCCGCGAGCTGCCCAGTGACACAAGCCTACCAGACGAGCTAAACCACTTCTATGCTCGCTTCGAGGCAAGCAACACTGAAGCATGCATGAGAGCACCAGCTGTTCCGGACGACTATGTGATCACGCTCTCCGTAGCCGATGTGAGTAAGACTTTTAAGCAGGTCAACATTCACAAGGCCGCAGGGCCAGACGGATTACCAGGACGTGTACTCCGAGCATGTGCTGACCAACTGGCAAGTGTCTTCACTGACATTTTCAACATGTCCCTGACTGAGTCTGTAATACCAACATGTTTCAAGCAGACCACCATAGTCCCCGTGCCCAAGAACTCTAAGATAACCTGCCTAAATGACTACCGACCCGTAGCACTGACGTCTGTAGCCATGAAGTGCTTTGAAAGACTGGTCATGGCTCACATCAACAGCATAATCCCAGAAACCCTAGACCCACTCCAATTTGCATATCACCCCAACAGATCCACAGATGATGCAATCTCTATCGCACTCCACACTGCCCTTTCCCACCTGGACAAGAGGAACACCTACGTGAGAATGCTATTCATTGACTACAGCTCAGCATTCAACACCATAGTGCCCTCTAAGCTCATCACTAAGCTAAGGATCCTGGGACTAAACACCTCCCTCTGCAACTGGATCCTGGACTTCCTGACGGGCCGCCCCCAGGTGGTAAGGGTAGGTAACAACACATCTGCCACACTGATCCTCAACACGGGGGCCCCTCAGGGGTGCGTGCTCAGTCCCCTCCTGTACTCTCTGTTCACCCATGACTGCATGGCCAGGCACGACTCCAACACCATCATTAAGTTTGCCGACGACACAACAGTGGTAGGCCTGATCACCGACAACGATGAGACAGCCTATAGGGAGGAGGTCAGAGATCTGGCCGTGTGGTGCCAGGACAACAACCTCTCCCTCAACGTGACCAAGACAAAGGAGATGATTGTGGACTACAGAAAAAAAAAGAGGACTGAGCACGCCCCCATTCTCATCGACGGGGCTGTAGTGGAACAGGTTGAGAGCTTCAAGTTCCTTGGTGTCCACATCACCAACGAACTATCATGGTCCAATCACACCAAGACAGTCGTGAAGAGGGCACGACAAAGCCTATTCCCCCTCAGGAGACTAAAAAGATTTGGCATGGGTCCTCAGATCCTCAAAAAATTCTACAGCTGCACCATCGAGAGCATCCTGACTGGTTGCATCACCGCCTGGTATGGCAACTGCTTGGCCTCTGACCGCAAGGCACTACAGAGGGTAGTGCGTACGGCCCAGTACATCACTGGGGCAAAGCTCCCTGCCATCCAGGACCTCTATACCAGGCGGTGTCAGAGGAAGGCCCTCAAAATTGTCAAAGACTCCAGCCACCCTAGTCATAGACTGTTCTCTCTGCTACCGCACGGCAAGCGGTACCGGAGTGCCAAGTCTAGGTCCAAAAGACTTCTCAACAGCTTCTACCCCCAAGCCATAAGACTCCTGAACAGCTAATCATGGCTACCCGGACTATTTGCACTGCCCCCCCCACCCCATCCTTTTTACGCTGCTGCTACTCTGTTAAGTATTTATGCATAGTCACTTTAACTCTACCCACATGTACATATTACCTCAACTACCTCAACTAGCCGGTGCCCCCGCACATTGACTATGCAACGGTACCCCCCTGTATATATAGCCTCCCTACTGTCACTTTATTTTACTGTATATATAGCCTCCCTACTGTCACTTTATTTTACTTCTGCTCTTTTTTTCTCAACACTTTTTTGTTGTTGTTTTATTCTTACTTTTTTGTTTAAAATAAATGCACTGTTGGTTAAGGGCTGTAAGTAAGCATTTCACTGTAATGTCTGCACCTGTTGTATTCGGCGCATGTGACCAATAAAATTTGATTTGATTTGATTTGAGCTAGCTAGCTAACGTTAGCTAAATAAAACTGTCTGGCTAGCTAGCTAGCTGAGGTGTACAGGAGCTACCAACGTCAAACTATAAAAACAGCAAATATATGGTAAAGAAAGAGTGTTCTCTTTACATTTTTTTTCGGTCCTCTGAAGCAGCAGGTAGTCAGCAGGTTGCCACTGTCAAAAACACTGTCCTTGGAGAGCAATTCTGAGGTCATAATTTTGCGTGAACTGCCCGCATCCTCCTTCCTTCGCGACTGCTATGAGGTAAAATAGAGCCAAGCAACCAGCATAGCAACAGACGCTTTAGTTCATTACGTAATCCGGTGTGAATTTTGCAAGTTCTAGCAACAGCCCTAGCAACAGAAGCTAGAACTCATCGAATCCCATTGTGACGCAGAGGGGGACTCTATTTGGCCCGGGGACACTATTTGGCATGACAGGCCCTAGCAAGTGAAATCACTAAAAAGGTGTCTGGACCCTTCTATGACATACCATTTACATAATATTTTTAGATGTAAGTTAATTCAACTTCAGTTGCACCTTCCTTCTACAGTGACTGCACCTTGATAGTTATAATTCATCTAATAATCATGATTTACAGTTCACTAGAGCCATGGACCTATGGTCACTACTAAAACATTTGAAATGTGATGGGCCTCTTCCACCCCTACCCAAGTCTGCATGGGGTGAGGAGGAGCCTGATCCCTACTCTGATAGTGGAGACTACTGGCCCTTTGCAATTTTTATAATTGCCATGGGAACTTTAGTGACCACAGAGAGTCAGGACACCTGTTTAACTTCCCATCCGAAAGACAGCACCCTACACAGGGCAATGTCCCCAATCACTGCCCTGGGATATTTAGACCAGAGGAAAGAGTGCCTCCTACTGGTCCTCTAACACCACTTCCAGCTGCATCTGGTCTCCCATCCTAGGGACCGACCAGGACCAACTCTGCTTAGCTTCAGAGGCAAGCCAGCTGTGGGATGCAGGGTGGTATGCTGCTGGCCAATACAGGCATCAACACATATTGTGAATGTAACATCAAGAAATTAACCAGTCTGTTTCTCTTTCCCTGTCTCCCCTGCTTTCTCTCCTCTATCCCCAACCCTTCCCTTTTCCATCCTTCCAATATCATACAACCAGGCATGCCAAGGTGTGCCATTGTAGAATAGGCTGACCCCTCGCTGCACCTTCAGGTCCTCTGCTGTCTCCATGACCACCCCTCCCATAGTGGCGTTCGCCGGGCAGCAGGCTCAGGCTGCTCGTGATGTCAACACGGCGTCGCTCTGTCGCATCGGCCAGGAGACGGTGCAGGATATCGTCTTACGCACCATGGAGATCTTCCAGCTGTTGAGGAACATGCAGGTAAGTGTTTCTTGTGACTTTTTTGTGTTGGGGCGGGTGTAAAGGCTGAACAAAGTTCTTGGCTTGCCTTTCATTATGGATGGTGCTCGTCTGTCAACCACCTTTATTACACGCAAAGCATTGTTTGCATGTGCTCCTCTTCCCTTTTACACACGCACACAGTCACATGCGCGCACACACATGATTCAGCCTTATTTGACTCCAGACCGACAGCATTACATAAACTGACAGCACAACATTGATTGATTGTCATCCAAGAGATACAAATTGTGAGGCACTGGTTGGAGTGTTAAACCAAATAAATGTCCCTCTCTTTCCTCACATTCATATCAAATAACAGTAACACAATATGACATGCATTGTCCCTCTGTTTTGTGGTGAGAATGGATGGATATGGGCCTAAGAGCAGAAAGCTGAGCCAACTAAGACCGCTTTTATTCTTGCCCTAGGAAGGCATGTCCCATGGTACAATCCTTTCTCACACTTGTTTTTAAACATTGAGGATTATATAAATGGGTGTGAAAAGGCCTTTATTTGATCATTAGACAGTCACCATCTGTTTATACCTCTTCTCGACCTTCTGTTGACACATTGGAAAGATCAGACTTTGCCCTGAAGATGGGTTCAGGACAGTTTGGGGACATCCCAAATGGCACCCTATTCCCTATGTAGTTCACTACTTTTAACCAGGGCCCATACTAGGACTCTGGTCAAAGTAGTGCACTATATAGGGAATAGGGTGCCATTTGGGACATTGTCTCTCTCTGTCTGTCTGTGTCTCAGAGAAGATCCTTCTGCAGCTCATTAAAACAACAACAGAGAAAGACAAAAGAAGAAGAATGCATTACCACCACTTGTTTCACAGATCACAGACTCTGTGTGGAAAAAAGATCACTCTGTTTACAGAGTGGTAGGCATGTATACAGGTATACACCCTACCTACCCTCATGCAGGGAATAGTTTCAGGCTGTACAGGATGTTTACTATCAGTTAAAAGTGCCTAAAGCTAAAGCTAGTTGGCATAAAGCTCAGGTGAAACAGTCTGGAGCTTTTTTAAGTCATACACATATCATGTAAACTTCTCCTCTCAGTGGAATGCCATGTAACAGCACATTAAAATTTAATCAATTTAAAACAGTTTTTTTGTCTACATTCCAATAATTCAGTCATTATTTTACAAACTTTCTACACTTCAGTTACCACCATAAACATTTGAGTAATCACACGCTGGTTACTAGTAGTCAAAGAGTAGCTGGTCAAGGAGGTACTAGTCAAGGAGTAAATAGGAGGTCCTGTAATGACCCCGTAGCTATTATTACAATGTTATTACATTACTAAAAGAGTATGTAACACACTTCTTTCCTATGTCATCTCTCCCAGCTGCCAAATGGAGTGACGTACCACCCCAACACCCACCAGGACAGACTGGGCAAACTGCAGGAGCACCTGCGTATGCTCTCTGTACTCTTCCGCAAGCTGCGCCTCGTCTACGACAAATGCAACGAAAACTGCACCGGTCTGGACTCTGTACCCCCAGAGGTGAGTGGCCACAGTCCCAGGACCACTCTGTGTATCATAATCAATATATAACCAGTTTGAACTGGACATAATTTACTTTACCACAGTTGACGATATTTTGGCTCAGTATACAAACCTACACAAACCACTAATGCAGATTTATGGACATTTCGGTTCTTGCCAGAGAGACTGGATTACAGTTTCCTCATACAAAATGTCTGACTGTAGTGAGGGGATCCACCGTGGCTGTGAAGAAAGTTCAGAGGAACCCCCGGTGCCTGGGGGATTCTTATCTCTCCCACTCTTATCAGGTCTACCTCGGCACACTTTATTCCCTATATAGTGCACTACTTTTGTGCAGGCAAGTAGTGCACTCTACAGTGAATATGTTTCCATTTGGGACGCAACCCTTGGCTCTACTCCACATTCAATTCAATGGCCGCTTTGTGTTTGTCCTGAGGGCCTCCTTAGTGGTTGTTATGGACTCCCACCCACCTCTAAAAACCCACCTCTTTATTTTACTGAGCTACTGGGGTGGCTACTGTTTTAGACCTCTTGCTGGGCGATTCCACTCTTTTATTGGTGGTTTTATTGTTGCAGTCATTTCTCCTATTGGTTTGGAGACAATTGGTTTTAAACCAGTGTTTAAGAATGACATTGCATGCGCACGTTGAATTAGGCTTTCAGACATGTGACGGAGGCATTTTGCGTTAAAGATATACAGGACATTACATTTGTTTTTTAACAATTCCAACTGAAAATTTTACAAAAACACATTTACAGGAAGAACTGTGCAGATACAAAGTTTGTGAACAGAATAAAACTGATGGAGATTTTACTGTAATTCTGTTACCAAACTTTGCATCTGCACACTTTTTTCAGTAAATGTTTATTTTATTTTATTTACTGTGTAAATTGTTGAAGGTAGTCATTTTGCATAGAGTTGTATAGTTTGTTAAACTTTGAAATGAATGTTTTTTGTTTGACATACATTTTAAAGTCTCAGTGTAATTCCGTTACCGTGGAATTGTCCATATGGCATACTGGCTTGCTGTATTTCTCTCTCAGGGGGAAAAGTGACACTTTAATTTGTAATTCTGGTCATATGTAAACCTCACTGTCCATTACACTCCACAGTTGTACCACTTCATTTAAAATGTTTACATATCCCCCCAGAGGCTGTGCAAACCACTTACTGTGCTGACCAACCAATACCTCACTGCACCATGTTGTCTGGAGGAAGTTGATTTTGGCCTGCCGCACGCCGCCATTTATCATCCCCTGAAACTCAAGTGGCTGACAAGCCTGCCGGCCGCAGTCCTGACAATCATGCTATTGGCTGGCCGCTGACCGGGCTTTCCCCAAACAGGAAGTGGAATCAATGACTCAGCCAGCATGACCTCATCGCGCTCCTAATTAGCAGCAGGCCTGGTAATGAACAACTGGCGAAGGCTGCCCACATCAGCGGTTTTCTGTTTTTTCCCCGAGCCAGGCAATCAACTGAGCCCTCGCCGTTCTTTGGCATTTCCTGCATTGTGAGCAGCCATGTCATTGAATTTACTTATTCTCCACGTTGTTCTTTTTTCTTCTTCTTTCTTCTTCCTTTTTGGTTCCCCCTCTCTAAGTAAGGCAACCTGGAGAACTTCATTACCCCCATTCTTCTCTGTCAACAGGCAAACCACATCCATCCTCGTGTGGAGGAGAGAGACAGGGGTTATGACTCACACCCACAGTTACAGAGACACACACAACGACATTTTACATTTACATTTTAGTCATTTAGCAGACGCTCTTATCCAGAGCGACTTACAGTTAGTGATTACATATTATTATTATTTTTATTTATTTTTTATACTGGCCCCCCGTGGGAATCGAACCCACAACCCTGGCGTTGCAAACGCCATGCTCTATCAACTGAGCTACATCCCTGCCGGCCATTCCCTCCCCTACCCTGGACGACGCTGGGCCAATTGTGCGCCGCCCATGAGTCTCCCGGTCAGCTGCGACACTCGCTTTCTCTCTCGCCCTCTCTACCCCTGTACATTTTCCCCCTTCCGACTGCCAAAAACAGCTCTTACCTTTAAATTCAATATGCGTTTGGCTCATAGATGGAATTATAGAAGTAGAAAAAGTTTTTTCCTCTCTGATACTTTTTGGATTCTACACCCCTAACAATCACAGAGTTGGCCTAATATAATAACCAGCACGTCTTCTGTCTTCTCTCCAATACGAGTCAGACAGCTTAGGGTTTGGCATCGGTCTCTCTGACTGACTAGAGAAAACTGCCAGAGCTGTCTCTTGTTTTTCTCATGTGATTCTCTCCATGCCTCTCTCTGTCCGTCTTCTGTTCTGGCCTATCCAGCTCTGCAGTAATGCTTTGGTCACAGCCTGCTTTAATCACTGTCTACACTGGCCTCTGCCAGTTGCTAAACCTCAGGTCATTGACTGCAATGAAATGCGATCAACTACTAGACTATTCAGAATGTAGAATACACTCAGCCTCAGATTTGTGTTGGACTTCACTGTGTTTTCACACCTGCTAAGGCTTTTGGTTGGCTGTACCTAATCTTTATTTATGATCTTGATTGGTACCATGGGTCGTGTTATGAGAAGGATGCTTTAGCCGTTGATGTTGTTTCTTTTCTCAAATCATTACCTCGTTCCTACATAACCGTTTAAGCAATCTCACCTCACACAGCCATGTATGATAATAGGAACCCAGTAGACGATAGTGTAACACTAGTATAATAGTACCATTTAAGATAAGCGTGTTGGTCTTGATGCAGTGCAATAGAGAACAATGTGTTCCATACGGCACTGCTTATTATCCTGCAGACCAGCAGATGTCAGTGTGATTTAATGCAGAGGAGGAACAGCCAGGCAGAGAGAGGGGAGGGAGGGAAAGACCTCCTCATTCTGAGAGGGTTTTCAGCACAGCAGTCGTTGTAGTGTCAGCCAGACAATGTCAAGCACAGAGAGTGCTTAAAAATGAATTAAGCACTTGGGTATGGACTGTGGAGAAGTCCTGATTCTGAAATGGTGGTGGTGGTATGGAACTTCTAATTCAGTATAACAGGGGAGGGAATGTCCTAGAAATCCTTAATTTATAGATAGACCTATTTTAATGGAGAATGTGGTGGACTATATATTCTTAGGTTTTGTATTGCTTAATGCAGGGTTTCCCAGCTCTGTTTATGGTGAACTGCTATGTATTGGTATGATAACAACTGTTTCCTTACAGCATTTCGTACACCTATACATAGAGTATGTAGACTTTTAGAGAAGGGTTAGTGATTCTATATTTTTCACATTTGTATTTATTTGTTTGATGAGAGACATAAGCCAATTCATCTTAATTTATGTTTTTCTCCTATTTTTATGTATCTTTATTTAACCAGTCGAGTCCCATTGAAATGGTAATCTCTTTTACAAGGGAGTCATATGTATTTTCCTATTGCAAACCAAAGCACCAAACTACTATCAATTTACCATCCCCTCATTGAATACCTGTGGTCATTGTATCTGTTTATACCCCCCCACAGCAACTCATCCCCTATGTGGAGGACGACAGCTCCAAACACGATGAACGCTTGGCCAGCCAGGCCCATCCGGCAACAGAGGAGAGGAGGGAAATCCTGGAGGTTAACAAGGTGAGCTGCCCACTGGGGTTTTATAGATATAAATGTACAGTACACTGGGCTTTAGAGAGCACAGCCCTGTATATAAAAGGTAACCCCAATAGTGATTCCAGGAGGAGAGAGAAAAGAGAGGCTACAGAGAGATTTCTTTTTTGATGAATGTATAACTGGACCGGATGGATAAAGAGGAGATTTTAATGTGAATACATATTGAGACAGACATTATTCCAGTCATTCCAGAGGAGGAGAGATGGAGGGAAAAGAGAGAATACTGAGAGAGAAGACAATGACCAGATGGACAGATATGTAGACAAAGGGAATATGTTGGAGGGAAGGTCTCCATATCAAGCCAGAGAGGAGAGAAAAAGAAGAAACACTTGAAGGAAAGAGAGAGAAGACCGATAGATGGAAAACTACAACACAGATAGATATGTAGACAGTTGGAATGATACTGGCTTCCAGAAGAGAGCAAAGACTGATGGAATTCCTCTGGAAGACAAATAAAAATGACATATACTGCACTGTAAATCAGTGACAAACACAATCTAAGATTGAGAAAAGAGATGATAAAAGAAAAGAGATTGATGTAGAACTGAATTGATAGATATGTCCCAAGAAGGGAAAGTTCAAATAAAGTCACATAATTGACACCTGTATACAGTAATATCCCCATAGAACAAACAGATGTGAAGGCCAACAACTATAGCCTGGTCCCAGATCTGTTTGTGCTGCCTTGACAGTTCGTATGGCCATTGTTTGGCATGATCATATGAGTTGGCAAGACCGCACAAACAGATGTAGGACCAGGCTAGCCCTGTTGATTGTCTTTGATCTAACCCAGCAGGAAAGGTAGGTAAAGAGTAGAGTCTGCTAGGTTAAAGGAGGTACACTGGAGGAGCTCCAAGATAAATGACTCCTCCATGGTAATGTCTTGCTGCTTTATGGGCCGTCCTGTGTGTGAGTGATAGCCTGCTCTCGTTATCTGTCGATTGGGGTAATTGCTGTTTGTCGGAGGTGCGTTGACTGATGGTGATGCAATCTGTCGAGGGAGGGAGGAAGGGAGAGAGAGATGGTGTGCATGCGGCCGATGGTGTGTGCTTTGGTGTAAGTATGAGTGAAATATGTGTGTGTGAGTTCATTTGAGCATGTAGCCTCTGTATGGTGTTTGCATAAATGTTTAAGATGCATTAGCCATAATTTATTACCACCTAATGGTCTGAGATTGCTCAATCTCTGAGCTGCAGACCTTTTTGCTTCAGACTGATTGTGCATATCAATTCCCCTTTCCTCTCCCTCTCCTATGCTCCAACGAGAAACACAAACTCCGAAGCGCCCAAGTGACCACAAATTAGAGCCTTAATGAATGCCTTGCATTAGTGGTCACACGCCAATTAATGGGAGGAAACGATGAATATGACTAACCGACCAACCGAATCGAATTGAAATTCCGAAGATGTTTTGCAGATAGGCATTTTCGTCCCATCTGTGTCGCCTTTTACGTCCAAGAAGGACCCCTGACTGACTGTGAGTTTTCTGCAGAACAGATGATGATGATTCACTGGACTCTCAAGAGTGATAATCATTCCATCTGGGATATGATGCTTCTTTCTTGTCATCTCCCCATCACTCTTTTTCTTCCCTCCTTCACCCTCCTTCCTTTCCTCCATCCTTCCTTCTCTTCTTCCCCCCACGGGTCCTAACTGATGACCCGCTCCCTCGGGAGTGTCACTGTGATACGGGAGGGGACCTGGGACCATCCCCAGTGCCTCTCCGTTGCAGCCCTGCCATCACCATTCGGCCAGCGTTTGATTTAATACTAGCCTAAGTGAGAATAAATTCCTGTCATAGCCCATTAAGGAGGCCTTGGAGAGATCTGGCCTGTTATTAATTCTCCACAGCTCCTCTCTTTCTCTCTCCTCTCTCGGCTCCCCACCCTCCCCTCATTCCCTCCCTCGCTCGCACACACTCCCTTGCTTTTTTAATATCCTGTTAATTACCGCGTCTGTCCTCTTTATTCAAATGAGAAAGTGAGAAATTAAACGCAAAGGATGTTTGTAATTTCAAATAGGGGAAAAGTGGGGGGAGGCAGTGCCTCTCCAATGGCGGAGCAGTCATGGATAATGAATTCCAGTGACATTGGCGGGTTAGCAGCGTTATCTGAAGAGCAGGCCGGGGTCTGTGGAGGCCTGATGATAAACAAACAGAGACCTGGATGATAATGAGACTCACTCGGAGAGAGGGATACAGATGGCTTCATGGATCTCTCTCTCTCTCTCTCTCTCTCTCTCTCTCTCTCTCTCTCTCTCTCTCTCTCTCTCTCTCTCTCTCTCTCTCTCTCTCTCTCTCTACTACTTCCTTTCTTTCTCCCCCTCTGCCTCTTTCTCTCAACCCCCCTTTCTCTCTCTCTCTCTCCTTCTCCTCCCTCCTTCTCCTCCCTCACTCTCTTTCTCCCTGCTTACACACTACAGCATTAGCAGGCTGTTCACAGGAGGCGCACAAACCTCCATGTTATTATCAGGCTCATATGTAGCCCATTAGACCAGTGTGTCGGCCAGAAGCTTTGTAATTGGTGAGCAGGAGGTCAGAGGGGAAATGCAGCGCAACTCATGTTGTTGGAAGATCAGGGGGCTATTTTTGGAATTAGAATGTTTTTCGAGTTAATTCTCCGATTATTTTCTATTTTGTTAAACCGTTTAAGGAATATGTAACCAATTAGACTAGAGTTTTTTTAATTCTCAAAATATGTTTGGATTCTTTAACTACAGCAAGGCAGGCTGAAAGTCTTACTGGCTTGAAAGAGGAAGGACTAGGTGTACAACAGTATCTCTATTGTGACCATGGTGATGCCACCAGGTTGATAGGTTCAACAGCCAGAACACTGTGTTTCCCACCTGTTTAGAAATGGATCCTGTGAACTTTAGATCTGTTGGTGCATAGGGCTGTTACGGTGACTGTATTACCACCACACTGGAGGTGTCGAGTCATGACCGCAGTCAAATTCCACGTGACCATTTAGTCAAGGTAACTAGGCTTCTCCAAGCTCTGATGCTGCTGATGGTCATTAGTAGCCTGCCAAACTTGCTAACTGCCAGTCCCTGATGGCCTGGTACTCAGCACTCTATTGTCCCTCTAATCACATCAATGCAAATGTTATTGAAAATCTAATCAAACACTTCATGAGAGCCCATGAGCTCCTGTTGCGCAACATTTCTATAGGCTATGCAATTGTGTGAGAAAACAGAGTTTTGATGGCCTCTATTAAAAAGAGGAGGATCCCATCAGCTTTCCATAGGCTAGGCCTACTATATTTATTTCTCAACTTTCCTAATATTAAGCACAACAAACGTCCTCCATTCGCTATTACATGCATAGATTACATGTATTTCCCCCCCCCCCATGCCCCTGTTTCGAGACAGGTGCATGATAATGGTCCATTCTAAATTAAAACAAATTTCACACATACAGTGCATACGGAAAATATTGGGAGAACCTTCCAGAAGGACAACCATCTCTGCAGCACTCCACCAATCAGGCCTTTATGGTAGAATGGTCAGACGGAAGCCACTCCTCAGTAAAAGGCACATGACAGCCCGCTTGGAGTTTGCCAAAGGACTCTCAGACCATGAGAAACAAGATTCTCTGGTCTGATGAAACAAAGATTGAACTCTTTGGCCTGAATGCCAAGTGTCATGTCTGGAGGAAACCTGGCACCATCCCTACGGTGAAGCATGGTGGTGGCAGCATCATGCTGTGGGGATGTTTTGCAGTGGCAGGGACTGAGAGACTAGTCAGGATCGAGGGAAAGTTGAACGGAGCAAAGTACAGAGAGATTCTTAATGAAAACCTGCTCCAGAGCGCTCAGGACCTCAGACTGAGGCGAAGTCACTTTCCAACAGGATAACGACCCTAAGCACACAGCCAAGACAACGCAGGAGTGGTATCGGGAAAAGTCTCTGAATGTCCTTGAGTGGCCCAGCTAGAGCCCGGACTTGAACCTGATCTAACATCTCTGGAGAGACCTGAAAATAGCTGTGCAGCGACACTCCCCATCCAACCTGACAGAGCTTGAGAGGATCTGCAGTGAAGAATGGGAGAAACTCCCCAAATACAGGTGTGCCAAGCTTGTAGTGTCATACACAAGAAGACTCGTGGCTGTAATCGCTGCCAAAGGTGCTTCAACAAAGTACTGAGTAAAGGGTCTGAATACTTATGTAAATGTAATATTTCCATGTTTTTATTTTTAATACATTTGCTAAAATTTCTAAAAACCTGGTCTTTGTCATTATGGGGTATTGTGTGTAGATTGATGAGGGGGAAAAAACAATTTAATCCATTTTAGAATAAGGATGTAACGTAACAAAATGTGGAAAAAGTCAAGGGGTCTGAATACTTTCCGAATGCACTGTATATTACTTATGTAAAGACAAGATTAAATCAAGAATAGTCTGATTGGTGACAATATATCACTTCTAAGTGATATATTATCACTTGTGAATGATGCCCAGCTTGTGTGCAGTAAGGCAAGAAACAGCACATGCCTTTTTTTTGGCTACTTTTTCAAATCATAGTCGCTCACCCATGTAGCCTAGCCCATAGGCCTGTATGTTTTGATAAGGTTTGTATCACAACTAAAGTGGCCAAATAACTTCTTAAAATTAAGCACATTAATCCGCTTTACAACCGGTGTAGAGGCTAACTAGCATACATAGGTCGCGCGTGAGCTTCAAGTTTGGATAAGATAATTTTCACCATAAAAATGCACCTTTTATAATAAAGCATTACATGCATCACTTTTGAGAATGGCGTTTTCCCGCTAATTGCATTTTGGAACATTCGCGCTTATAGCCTACTGCCGTGAGTGCATTGCTGCACTTACAGTGAGGAAAAAAAGTTTTTGATCCCCTACTGATTTTGTACGTTTTCCCACTGACAAAGACATGATCAGTCTATAATATAATGGTAGGTTTATTTGAACAGTGAGACAGAATAACAACAAAATGTCAAAAATGTTATAAATTGATTTGCATTTTAATGAGGGAAATAAGTATTTGACCCCTCTGCAAAACATGACTTAGTGGCAAAACCCTTGTTGGCAATCACAGAGGTCAGACGTTTCTTGTAGTTGGCCACCAGGTTTGCACACATCTCAGGAGGGATTTTGTCCCACTCCTCTTTGCAGATCTTCTCCAAGTCATTAAGGTTTCGAGGCTGATGTTTGGCAACTCGAACCTTCAGTTCCCTCCACAGATTTTCTATGGGATTAAGGTCTGGAGACTGGCTAGGCCACGCCAGGACCTTAATGTGCTTCTTCTTGAGCCACTCCTTTGTTGCCTTGGCCGTGTGTTTTGGGTCATTGTCATGCTGGAATACCCATCCACGACCCATTTTCAATGCCCTGGCTGAGGGAAGGAGGTTCTCACCCAAGATTTGACGGTACATGGCCCCGTCCATCATCCCTTTGATGCGGTGAAGTTGTCCTGTCCCCTTATCAGAAAAACACCCCCAAAGCATAATGTTTCCACCTCCATGTTTGAAGGTGGGGATGGTGTTCTTGGGGTCATAGGCAGCATTTCTCCTCCTCCAAACACGGTGAGTTGAATTGATGCCAAAGACCTCGATTTTGGTCTCATCTGACCACAACACTTTCACCCAGTTCTCCTCTGAATCATTCAGATGTTCATTGGCAAACTTCAGACGGGCCTGTATATGTGCTTTCTTGAGCAGGGGGACCTTGCGGGCGCTGCAGGATTTCAGTCCTTCACGGCGTAGTGTGTTACCAATTGTTTTCTTGGTGACTATAGTCCCAGCTGCCTTGAGATCATTGACAAGATCCTCCTGTGTAGTTCTGGGCTGATTCCTCACCGTTCTCATGATCATTGCAACTCCACAAGGTGAGATCTTGCATGGAGCCCCAGGCCGAGGGAGATTGACAGTTATTTTGTGTTTCTTCCATTTGCGAATAATCGCACCAACTGTTGTCACCTTCTCACCAAGCTGCTTGGCGATGGTCTTGTAGCCCATTCCATTGTAGGTCTACAATCTTGTCCCTGACATCCTTGGAGAGCTCTTTGGTCTTGGCCATGGTGGAGAGTTTGGAATCTGATTGATTGCTTCTGTGGACAGGTGTCTTTTATACAGGTAACAAGCTGAGATTAGGAGCACTCCCTTTAAGAGTGTGCTCCTAATCTCAGCTCGTTACCTGTATAAAAGACACCTGGGAGCCAGAAATCTTTCTGATTGAGAGGGGGTCAAATACGTATTTCCCTAATTAAAATGCAAATCAATTTATAACATTATTGACATGCGTTTTTATGGATTTTTATGTTGTTATTCTGTCTCTCACTGTTCAAATAAACCTACCATTCAAATTATAGACTGATCATTTTTTTGTCAGTGGGCAAACGTACAAAATCAGCAGCGGATCAAATACTTTTTTCCCTCATTGTATTATGTGAAGAAATAGCCTAATAGTTTATCAACATTTTAAGCTCAACATTCTGATCTGTTGCATCAGCCTCATTGCTTTTAAAAGGTTTTTTGATGCTAGTGGTTGCATTAATTTGGGATCTATTGCATCCCACAACTGTCCCAGACTATGTTTGGAGTATGTATTTCTCGCACAGATGACCAAGTCAGTTTTTTTACTATGGGGGATAGTAGATTGACATAGGCTAGTGCTTTTACTGTTCGTTAGGCCTACTCATCTATTTGGCTGATGAAAAGTTAATGTGGACATCTTCCAGTTCCAGCAGGTATATCTCACTGGTCATCCCCAAAGCCAACACCGCATTTGGCCGCTATTCCTTCCAGTTCTCTGCTGCAAATGACTGGAACGAACTGCAAAAATCTCTGAAGCTGGAGACACTTATCTCCCTCACTAACTTTAAGCGTCAGTTGTCAGAGCAGCTTACCGATCACTGCACCTGTACACAGCCCATCTGTAATTAGCCCACCCAACTACCTCATCCCCATATTGTTATTTACATTGTTATTTATTTTGCTCATTTGCACACCAGTATCTCTATTTGCACATCATCTTCTGCACATCTATCATTCCAGTGTTAATACTAAAATGTAATTATTTTGCACTATGGCCTATTTATTGCCTTACCTCCATAACTTACTACATTTGCACACACTGTATATAGATTTTCTATTGAGTTATTGACTGTACGTTTTGTTTTGTTTATTCCATATGTAACTCTTTGTTGTTGTTGTTTTTATCGCACTGCTTTGTTTTATCTTGGCCAGGTCGCAGTTGTAAATGAGAACTTGTTCTCAACTGGCTTACCTGGTTAAATGAAGGTGAAATAAAATAAAATAAATTAGTGGCATGTAGGCTATGCTATGCGCGGAAGCCAGAACACGCTAAATGTGTTTATGTTAATTAACGGTGAGTTACCATGAGACCGGCAGTTATTTGCTTGACAATCACCGGCTGACAAAATGTCATGACCGCCACAGCCCTATAGGTTTGAAGAGTAAATCATGCCGACGACTGGAATCTGCTGCGCTGACAAAACAAGTGACACTTTGCTACTCTCCCCAAACACCAAACCTTGTTCTTGCTCCCCTTGCGTAAGAGGAGCAAAAATAACATCTCCAATCGGTTGAGACTTTAAAGTTGAATTATACAGTTTTTCATTTTCCCAGATATCTGCCTGCCTCTTTTTCTCTCCGGTTGCGTATGAAATCTGGGCTGGACCCATATGCTGTAAGCCCCTGACAGCTCAGGCAGAGATGAAAGAGCCCGGCTCATTGGCCCTGAGATAGAGAGGGAGGCATTACCGAGCAAATGCCAGTCTAATACCCCCTATACCTCACACTACACCTGAGCTCTCCAAGCTAAACTTCTCTACTACACCCTTTCTCTCTAAACTACCCCTCCACTATTACACCCTATACACTCTCTCTCCAAGCTAACCATCCTCACACCCTCACTCTCCAAGCTGCCCCTCCAAAAAACCTTACACTTTCTCTTTCCAAGCTACCCCACCACCCTCCCACCCACTCTCTCCAAGTTAACACTCCACTATCTGCTCACCCTTCAAGATACCTTTCCAGTATGGACAACATCTCACTTGTCTTTGCAAGCCAAACCCAGTGTCCGACACACTGTCCTATTCATTCACACTATTTTACTATATGGCACCAGGCTCAGACAAATATTGATGGTCCGTAACGTTAGCACACCTATAAAAAAGTGAAACTTTGAAAGAAAACTCTGTGCAGATATATCTTATTTTGCAACTCCGACTCTGCCGTAAGAGAGTTACTCCAGATGGGCAAATGCATTCCCTTTAAGCATATTGTGTCCCCACTGAGTTCTGAAACCTATGAACTCTCTCTTTCTTCTCCCAATATCATCTGAAGAGATTCTAGGGAGAACTATTCAGTTGTTATTGGGGTTATCAAACTCCCATGAGACTGAATGATAATCCTTCTTCTCATAGGTTCTGAATAAACTTTGATTTGATTTGAAGGCATCTGCATCATCACAAGTCTTCCCTTCCCTCGTCTGCTCCCTCGTGTCTCAACTGTCCCTCTTATCTATACTAAACAAAAATATAAACCCAACATGTAAATTGTTGGTTTCATGAGCTAAAATAAAAGATCCCAGAAATGTTCCATATGCACTAAAAGCTTATTTCACTCAGATTTTGCGCACAAGTTTTGTCACACAACACAATGCCTCAGATGTCTCAAGTTTTGAGGGAGCGTACAATTGGCATGCTGACCGCAGGACTGTCCACCAGCACTGTTGGCAGAGAATTGAATGTTAATTTCTCTACCATAAGCCGCCTCAAACTTCATTTTAGAGAATTTGGCAGTACGTCCAACCGGCCTCACAACCGCAACCATGTGTAACTACGGCAGCCCAGGACCTCCACATCCGGCTTCTTCACCTGCGGGATCGTCTGAGACCAGCCACCCGGACAGCTGATGAAACTGAGGAGTATTTCTGTCTGTAATAAAGCCCTTTTGTGGGGGAAAACGAATTCTGATTGGCTGGGCCTGGCTCCCCAGTGGGTGGTCCTATGCCCACCCATGGCTGCATCCATTCCCAGTCATGTGAAATCCATAGATTAGTGCCTAATGAATTTTTTTCAATTGACTGATTTCCTTATATAAACTGTAACTTAGTAAAATCGTTGAAATTGTTGAATGTTGCATTTTATATTTTTGTTCAGTATACTTTCTAAACTGCCTGGTCACTGTGCAGATGCTTTTATTTGAAGGAACTGTTTGTGAACCCTCAACTTTGGGGTTGTGCCTAGTTTCCTAGCACAATTCTCCAAACAATTGCGCCCTCTGAACCCTATATACAAGCTAATCTTCTCACAGCCCCCAATCGCAACAGGACAGGTTTCTTCTTGTGCTTCTAATTTAATTCTTGCTTATCAATTCCCATGTCACCACGCCCCCAGCGCAAAACGAACACTCTACACTCATCAGCACACTCTAGCTTTAAATCCTAAACGCTGCATTCAAGATGGGATGAACTTTTCAACTCAGGGATTACACATTTACTTTACTGAAAACGTGTTCCTCCTTGACTGTAAAGCAACTTACATGCGAGAGTGGATCCCCTGGTGTTAAAGCTGATGTTAAGTGTTTGCCAAAGAACGCATCCATAGTCCAAGTGCTTAGGTCAGACGAAATAGGCCTACTCACTGTTGTTATGTGGTGCACATGTTATCCAGCACAAAAACGGTTATACACTGAATATACCAAACATTAGGAACACCTTCCTAATATTGAGTCACCACCCCCTTTTTGCCCTCAGAACAGCCTGCATTTTTCAGGGCATGGACACAAGGTGTCTAAAGCTTCCACAGGGATTCTGGTCCATGTTGACTCCAATGCTTCCCACAGTTGTGTCAAGGTTGCTGGATGTCCTTTGGGTGGTGGACCATTCTTGATACACACGGGAAACTGTTGAGCGTGAAAAACCCAGCAGCTCTGTAGTTCTTGACACAAACCGGTCTGCCTGGCACATACTACTGTACCCCGTTCAAAGATACTTAAATATTTTGTCTTGCCCATTCACTCTCTGAATGGCACACATACACAATCCATGTCTCAATTGTCTCAAGGCTTAAAAATCCTTCTTTACTTTTTAGTCATTTAGCAGACACTCTTATCCAGAGCGACTTACAGTTAGTGAGTGCATACATTTTCATACTGGCCCCCCGTGGGAAACAAACCCACAACCCTGGCGTTGCAAGCGCCATGCTCTACCAACTGAGCTACAGTCTTTAACCTGTCTCATCACCTTCATCTACACTTATTGAAGTGGATTTAACAAGTGACATCAATAAGGGATCATAGACTGATCAGGTGAATCCAGGTGAAAGCTATGTCATGGAAAGAGTTCTTAATGTTTGGTATACTCAGTGTTTGGCCCAACCATTGGTTTTAAAGAGAGGGTGTGAAATGGCAGCTTAGCCTCTGTGCCCCTCATATATAATCACTGTGAACAAAATCACAAAGCAGAGCCCAATCAATACCGCTACCTGGCAGCAAGTCAAGTGCTGAAGAGGGCCGGGCAGGGTAAAGATGGAAAGAAAGCACCAGCAGCACTGCTACTTCTAACGCAGCAGAATCAATGGGAACTGTTCTGAAACAGTTGGCTGCACTGCAAGCTTTCCAGCTCAGTGCTGAGGACATGTTGAAAGGCGGGGTGTATTCAGAGGATGACAACATGTCTATTGTATTTCTGCCAGTGAGTGGTGGAAGGCTTTATCTCCCTCACCAAACCTTGGGCCTTTGTCCTCCTGGGAGGCCCATGCCAACTAGTTGGGCAGTTAAACTCTCCCTTAAAAAAGACATAAAGTTTATTAAGTCAATTAAGGCTATTAAAGCAATGTCAGACAAATTAAGGCTGCTTCACCGAGCTCCCCAAAGGCCGCTGTCAACTGCATAACCCACTTAGCATCAGAAGGCTCCTCAAGCAGGTCGAAGTGTGTGCTGGCTTACTACTTCAGTTCAGTTTGCACTGTGCTTACTGAGGAGGGAACATGCCCAGTGCCCAACCCGAACAATAGACTTCTACAAAAAATTGACCAGCCACTATGGTGGCACTAGATAGTCTGCACTCTGCATGTAACATATACAGATATGCTACATGATGCATGCCATTGAGAGAGTGCCTTTTCTTGACCAACCCCTCTCTTGACGATGGCACCCCCACCATAACAGAACACCAAATGCAATGCATTCGGAAAGTATTCAGACCCCTTCCCTTTTTCCACATTTTGTTACATTACAGCCTTATTCTAAAATGGATTAAATACAAAATGTTCCTCATACATTTTTGCAAATGTATTAAAAATAAAAAACAGAAACCTTATTTACATAAGTATTCAGACCCTTTGCTGTGAGACTCTAAATTGACCTCAGGTGCATCCTGTTTCTATTGATCATCCTTGATGTTTCTACAACTTGATTGGACTCCACTTGTGCTAAATTCAATTGATTGGACATGATTTGGAAAGGCACAAACCTGTCTATATAAGGTCCCACAGTTGACAGTGGATGTCAGAGCAAAAACCAAGCCATGAGCTTGAAGGAATTGTCCATAGAGCTCCGAGACAGGATTGTGTCGAGGCACAGATCTGGGGAAGGGTACAAAAAATGTCTGCAGCATTGAAGGTTCCCAAGAACACAGTGGCCTCCATCAATCTTAAATGGAAGAAGTTTGGAACCACCAAGACTCTTCCTAGAGCTGGCCGCCCTTCCAAACTGAGCAATCGGGGGAGAAGGGCCTTGGTCAGGGAGGTGACCAAGAACCAGATGGTCACTCTGACAGAGCTCTAGAGTTCCTCTGTGGAGATAGGAGAACCTTCCAGAAGGACAACCATCTCTGCAGCACTCCACCAATCAGGCCTTTATGGTAGAGTGGCCAGACGGAAGCCACTCCTCAGTAAAAGGCACATGACAGCCCGCTTGGAGTTTGCCAAAAGGCACCTAAAGAACTCAGACCATGAGAAACAAGATTCTCTGGTCTGAAACCAAGATTGAACTCTTTGGCCTGAATGCCAAGCGTCAAGTCTGGAGGAAACCTGGCAACATCCCTACGGTAAAGCATGGTGGTGGCAGCATCATGCTGTGGGGGTGTTTTTCAGCGGCAGGGACTGGAAGACTAGTCAGGATCAAGGGAAAGATGAACGGAGCAAAGTACAGAGAGATCCTTGATGAAAACCTGCTCCAGAGCACTCAGGACCTCAGACTGCGGCGAAGGTTCACCTTCCAACAGGACAACGACCCTAAGCACACAGCCAAGACAACGCAGGAGTGGCTTCGGGACAAGTCTCTGAATGTCCTTGAGTGGCCCAGCCAGAGCCCAGACTTGAACCTGATCTAACATCTCTGGAGAGACCTGGAAATAGCTGTACAGCGACACTCCCCATCCAACCTGACAGAGCTTGAGAGGATCTGCAGAGAAGAATGGGAGAAACGCCCCAAATACAGGTGTCCCAAGCTTGAAGTGTCTTACCCAAGAAGACTCCAGGCTGTAATCGCTGCCAAAGGTGCTTCAACAAAGTTCTGAGTAAAGGGTCTGAATACTTATGTAAATGAGATATATCCGGTTTGTAATAAAAATAATAATGAATCTAAAAACCTTTTTTCTTTGTCATTATGTGTTATTGTGTGTAGATTGATGAAGGGGGGGATGATTTAATCCATTTTAGAATAAGGCTGTAAGGTAACAAAATGTGGAAAGGTCAAGGGGTCTGAATACTTTCCAAATGCACTCAAGATTGTGTATT